ATAGAAACCAAAACAAAGTTCATCGCCTGCCCACGCGCGCGTGCATGCGTTTTCATACATCTGTGGTTGATATGACTACCTTGGCAGCCAGAAACTAACATTTTACATTGGTTTCCACCATTGGGTTTTTGAGTTAACATCGAGTAGGTTGTAGTAGGAACCATACAAGGTCCACAGCCTGCCCGCGCGCGCATGCATGCGTTCTCACACGCTCGTGGTTGGTATGGTTACTTCTTGCACCCAGAAACTAAAGTTTTACATTTGGTTTCCACCATTGGGTTTTCAAGTTAACGTCGCCCAGGTTGCATAGAAACAAAGCCCATCGCCTGCCAGCGCGCGTAGGATCGCGCGTCCGTGTATGCGTTTCCAGGCAGTCGTGTTTGACATTGCTACCTCTTGCGTCCAGGAATTAAACATATACATTTGGTTTACACATTTGGTTATTCGATTTTCCATGACCCAGGATGCATGCATTCAATGCAACGCTCATCGCGCGCGATAGTCCATCCACCAACCTGCGCTGGCGTCGACGATGATTCTTGTATACCGCGCGCAATCCGCACTCGGGTTCGGCTTTTAATCACTGGCGAAAGCGCACCTTGTGTCGTGATCGAACTGACTCTTACGCGCGGGTTTGCCACTTGGTTTCGCGTGCAGCACCGCTCGCTCGGGGCCGCGAAGAGGTCGCTGCCTCTCTGCGCGGCGATGTCGCCATCCCAGCGAGGGGCGCAGGCGGCGGCGCGCGGGGGTCGTGCGCGCGCCAAGGTCAGCGGTACTTCGCGGCTTGGAGGGACCCATCGGTTCTGGGAAAACGAGCGCGGCCGCTGCCCAGGCAGCATTTTCTGACCTGAATGCTTGCTTTTCCTATCGTTCAGGCGGCCCGAAGGGCGGCCCAACGCCCGACCAAACGCGGCGCCCCAAATCGAGCCCCCCCCCCCCCCCCCGACTGACCGCGCCGCCATCGCCGAACGCCGCCCCGCCCGCGCTGGTGGCCCAGCCGCTGCGCCTACAGTCCCCCAGTGGTTGCAGACGAATACCACCAACGTTGCCAATCCATTTCGCCCACTTCGTAAGCGCCAGTGGCCCTAGTCGAGCCCAGCCCGCCATGCAAGCCGTCTGCGGCTCGCGTTTGTCTCAGGGCGGGTTCAGCGCACCGCCAGCGCGGTGGAAGCGCATTGCATTTTTGCATGTGCCGACGCACTGCGCCAATGATATGTCTTTTGCGCGCCTGTCCCCATTGGGGGGGGGTCCACGCCGCGGACTTCAAATAGGTCGAGCGCAGCGCTTTGACTTTGCTGGATGTGAGCTCGCTCGCGCGTAACTGACGCGTAGGTTCACTGCGTTTGTTGAGAACGTGCGCTATCGTTCGTATTGCATGAACCTGAATTGACCTGAATAAACCTGAATGGACCTGAATTGACCTGAATCAGCCTGAATCAACCTGAATCAACCTGAATGGACCTGAATGGACCGGAATCAACCTGAATTGGTTTGACTAAGTATGAATATGGCTTAAATAAACGTGAATTGGTCTGAATAAACTTGAATTTCGCCTGAATCACGCCTGAATTGACCTGAATAAGACCTGAATCGCACCTGCATTGCATGTTTTCTCAAAGTTTTTCCAGCGCCGATAACGCGGCACTGATGCGCGCGACGTTGGGAAGTAGTAGTTGCATGCGCGCCGTTGCGCATATCCAAATACATGTCGCGCGACCTCGGTGCGAATGTTCGCATGGCAATGCGCTGGGCGCGCGCGAAGTGCGCGCTTGACAGCGCATCGACCGCAATGAAAATGCATATACGCTCGCGACAACTGGTCGAACGCGACGCAGCGACGCGGGGCGCAAACTTCTACTCGCGCGGGGCACGCTCGTTCCTGATTGGCGGTGCGTCGTGACCCAAGGAAATGTTGATGGTGCCGTACATAGGCCACGCAAGTGTTTTGTCGGCCAGTTTCAGATAAGCAGCCTTTGCCGCCTGGCGTCAGCGGTGCTTCTAAACGCGCACCTCACAACGATGAAGCCATTCGGTGAAGACCGCGCGGCAGCGCGGAGCGCGCGGCTTATCTCGCGCCATCCATCCACGGCAGCGCAAAGGGGCCGAGCGCGCCATCTTCGGCACCGCGTGTTAATGCGGCATAGTTAAGGCTCTTGGCACCTGGGAACCCACTCGGTGCCTTCCAATTGCAGCGCCGTGGCAAAGATCACGCATCACGCTTCCGCAACCATGGCAGCACCGCTGGTCGCACGTCCAGGGGTGCAGTTATTTGCGCGGCGCCGTTCGATCACAAGGAGGCGGAGAATGGCACATGCAATCCTGTGCGCGTGGTAGCCCGTGCGATTGTATACTTGGGCGGCACGTGCTACCATTGGCCTCGCGCCCGCATTCCGAGTTCAATTTTTACAAACGAAGGTGTCAGAATGAAGTGTCTGAGGCCTTGCAATCTCGCGGCGGCACATCGGCAGGGCACGTGTGCGGGATTCCGAGACGCTTCCCAGGGCTTCTTGCTTAACTTGCCATCTGTGATTCTTGGCAACGCAATCAACCAGCGCGCGTTGACGGAACCACGTGCACATCCATCCTGACTTTAGCCGCCTGCCCACTCTTCTTCAACTTACGACCGCCGCCCCAACCTTGGCTGGGCCACTCGCCCACTCTTGTTGACTGAGACGCCCTCGCGTTCTTCCAGCTGGCGCCATCCGCCCACTCTGCCACTCTGAACGAACCACCAAGGCTTCTGGACGGCATGTGGCATTTTCACTGCTTGACCCACCAGCCGCAGCTGTTCGATTCCACCGCGCGCCCGCATTTGCTGGCTGCACCAATCGTTCTCCATGGATGAGCCGCCCGCCATCCTCTGCCTGGGCCACCCAACAGCTCTTATGGAGTGGCCCATCCAATATCCCGTCTTGGCCAGCCACCAACCAAGTCTTCTTGACGGAGCCACCCACACTCTCTGGTATGAACCAGCCACCGACTCGTCTTGACTGAACATTCCACTCGCCCACCCTTCCTGGCTAAACCATCTGCCCTTGTGGCCTGATCCATATGCGTTCTAGTGGCTGAACTATCCGCCGAAGATTCTTGCTTGAACCATGCCCCCTTTCAGCCTTTCATGGCCGAACCACCTGCTTCTTGACTTGGCATTCCAAAGCCCGTTCTACTGGGCAACGTCATGCACCAACTCGTTTAGGTCTGAACCACGCGTTACTGTTCTTCGGCGGAACCAACGAACGACTCTTCCTAATTGAAGCACCAACCGACTTGTTTTAATTGAGCAATGCAAAATGCCTTCGCGCATGAATCGCGCGCTCGCTCTTCCTGACTGGGCCATTCACCCACTCTTTGCTGAGCCGCGCACGCGTTCTCATGCCTGAGCCGCCCGCTCGCTCTCCTTAGATCAACAGCCCGCGCGCTCTGCATGACCGCGCGATCCGCCCGCTATCACTTGACGGAAATGTCCACCAACATTTCTTGGCCGATGGCACACTCGTCTTTGCTATACCAACCAATCTTCATGACTGAGCCGCCCACTTCTCTTGGCTGCGCCATCCACAATGTTGGACAACTACCACCCACCCGAGCTTGTGACGTGAACTACCCATCAGCATTTCTCGAATGAGCAAGCCGAACAATCCCCTGACTGGGCCGTCCACCAACTTTTGGACCAATCCGCAACTGAACCACGCACTGCGCCCACTCCTCATGGCTGAGCCCGTTACTTGCTAGCTGTGCGTCGTTGGACAACGTGCAATGTTTGTCTTCTGGACTCAAGCACCAGCCCGCTCTTATGCGTTCTATCATCCACATGTCTTGCTCGATTGAGCCATCCACCCATTTGTCTTGACAGATCCATCCAAACGCGCTGCCGCGATCCTTGGCCCAAAAGCTTATGTCCTCTGCTTCACTTAAGCAATAACCCTTTGCCTGGCCTTGACCGCGCCGTCTGTTCTTCTCCATGGCAGAATCGCCCACCTAACTTGTTTGGTTTGAAAATGCCATCTACGACGCTTTCTTGACAACATAACAACCACTAGAGTCGTTACTTAACAGTCCACCAACTCTTTTAGCGCGAACCTCACACTTCAGCCGCGAACCTACTCTTAGCCACGCTTGCTAACATAACTGTTCAATCACTTTGCTTGACCGAACAACGCGCGCTCGCCTTGACAGTGCCATCCGCCCACTCATATGTTGAACATACCACATGCTTTTCTTGATTGGGACATCTACCAACCCTTTTTGACTGCACCAACCATGCACACTCCTCGACTACTTTTCACTAACGCAGCCGCCCACCCACTCGTCTTGACTGTGCCATCCCCCAGCCACTAAACTGACCCACCCAGCCATCAAGCCGCAATTGCCCGCCCATATATAGTTCACCGCCGACGAGTCCAAGAGATATTATTCGCAGGATGAAACGCTCGTAGGTCCAAGGCCATCGCAAACCTTAAAGTTATGTTGTTTTCGCTGTATGTTTGGGTGACACGCGCCGTTGAATAATTCTGTCGGAAGTGAATTATGACCCCATGTCGGTTATGATAACAATAAAGTTCCACTAGGTTTCCACCGAGCGGTTTCGGGCGTGCCCCCCAGTCAGCTGATGTCACTTCCCCCGAGTCTGACCCACCCATGTTGTTTTCCAAAACCAAAAAACCCCAAGTCGGAAAGTTGTCACAATCTGGAATGCAACCTTGCGCCGTCTGGGGCTCTCAGGGCACCATATTGAGCCATCTTGTGAGGTCTAGCGGCTTGGGCGCTACCCTTACGCCCCCCGAACCAGACCCAAGGGGGCTGCATAAGAGTTGTCAACCATCCTCGAAGGTGAAGACGGGAGTTGACGAATAAGGAGACCCGTTGGCCAGAGCCACAAACGGCAGTGCGTTGCCTTCACGAATTAGTGCCCATGAACACGTATCTTAGCCATTTTGGCCCCAGCCTGCGTCGGCGATCTGGCCGGCCTTGTTGGCCCACCGGAGCCGCTGAGAGCAGCGATGGCAAAGCCTAGGCGCGGGGCTGCTTCTGGCGGACAGCCCCAGACGAAGGTTGCCAAGAAAGCATCGGAGGAGAAGCCCCAGCGCCCTGCGAACAAGTGGATGAATGTCAGAGCCGCCACTTGTACAACCTGCCATCAGAACACACACGTGAATGACCGTGATTCTACAGACGGCTCTCCTTTGTTTTGGCCGAAGTCAGAAGTATTGAAGAGCGGGGAGAGGGCCCCCATGGGCCACGAGTGCGGCGTCTGCGCGTACGTGAGGGGCAAGTACTACCCACGCGGGACCTCCCAGAAGGACTTGGGTGACAAGATCAACAGCTCAGAAGAGGAGGCCTCGCGTCACGCTCGCCTGAGGAAAGACAGGGCGAGTGGCGAGAACAAGTGCCAGGAGACGGAGGCAGTCAACGTGAAGCACACCAGCCAGGTCGAAACAAAGGGCTACACCGATGCTTTCGTTGATGGCTACTTCGTCGAGCTGAACACCTTTGCGAAGGATCGCAACCTGCTGAACTTCGCCGATCAGGATGAGCTGGTGCACTATATCAAGCATGCCATGGGGTACAACTGTGGTGAAGGTAAAACGGGGGAGTTCGGGGTATTCGTCACCGAGCTCCCGAGAGGTGCGTCTTACAAGTCCCGATTCGGAGCTCAGGATGCTTCCCGAGCGATTGCCACCGAGAGGCACGAGTCCAGAGATGATGCCACGAGGCAGCACTTTGAAGACTCCTCGGCTATGTCGGCTATGTCTTTGGGTTTACCGTCTTCCTCGTCGCGAAGGTCTGCCGCGGCAAGGCCGCCGACCCCCGTGCCAGCGCAACGTCCTCTTCGTTCGGCTGTCGAGGGCGGCTCCGAGGAGGAAGAGGAGGACGACTGCCAGTCGGCGTGTGGGAGTCTGCGGAGCTGTGGCACGGCGCAGTCGGTCCATTCGTCTTTACAGAGTTTGTGTTCGGAGCGCTCCGCTACGCCAGTCATTCCGAAAGCCACGAAGCGCGCCAGATGAAGGTCAACCGTCTGCTGCGAAGACGAAGCGGTTCAGAGGAGGCGGATCGCAGGCCATCATCGCTGACGGGCGGGCCCTCCTGGAGGAAGTTGCCACGGCTTGGACAGCCGAGACGCTCTGGTCGAAGAAGTACAGGCCGAGGGACTTCGAGAACTTGCTGACCCGTCTGGCAGCCAAAGCTTCGAAAGTGGCCTCAGTGATGGGTGAGACCGAGTCCGCTGAGATATCGGAGCAGCTGTACATGAGCAGCGTGCAGCTTGAGGACGAGCGCATGTGCCTGGACGCCTTGAGGAATGAGCCCCATACCATTGTCCGCAAGGTTCCCAAGCGTCTCTATTATATCTTCAAAAAACTGCCCGACAACATCACAGCAAACATCATGTCGACCACGTCGTACAAGCTCGCATCCTATCCAGCTCCTGAGGTCCAGGCCACGGCACTGGATGTCGCCAAGTTCGATTCGCGAGAGGGGGTCCTGTCTGTGGCCATGCTCGGGAACAGCTCTACCGAGTTCGTGGCGAGCTGCCAGCGGAACATGGTCCAGGCCTTCATCGACAGGGTCGTCAGGAAGAACTCCCAGACCGACTTCACCTCGGTCGTGAAGCACTGCGGCGACACCACCGGGACGTGTTCCGACTTGGCGGCGTTGGACACCACGAGCGAGACGATAGACGAGACGATTGGTTGGAATCCGTCTTGCTTTGTCGACTTGATCGCCCTTCGGTTCTTCGGCGCGGCCGCAGAGATCGACGCGCGTGAGAGGCTCCCGAGGGAGCTTCGCGTCGTTGGGGATCAGTTGTACACCCACAGAGAGAAGTTGTCCAACCGTCTCCGTTGCCACATCCGCGTGGGCACAGGCACCGCGAACTGGGCCAAGACGGGCTGGGATCGGATCTCGGTTGGCGACGGGGGCCCTGATCTTTGCTGTCTGGCCGCAGATGTCCTCGACAAGGTGAATGCGTTCGGGAAATCGATCGATCATCACGTCTCGGAGCTACAGGGTACCGATAGCGTTCGCCGAGGAGGATGAATGGACTGACGGGCTCTGGGGGGTACTTGGGACGGCTGCTGCGGATGATCAGTTTCGCGACATGTTGGATAAGTTCCCTAAGTACATAGATAGCATCGACGACACCGACGGCTCGATTACTGACGACACCAAGAACGCTATCTCGGTGAAGGACATGCTCGTGAAGGCAGTGTGTACCGCGGCCGACGTCGTAGGCTCTCACTTCGATTACTTCTCAGCTGACTTCCGCGCCATCTACCACGAGGGGTACGGGGGGGACGACGACGTGGATCCGATCAAAGTGCTGTACTTCGTAGCCCACGCCGTCTTGAATTTCGAGATCGGTCTAGCGGAGAGATCCACCATCAAAGAGACCTTGACCCGCTGCGAGATTGCCTTGAAAGTGAACCAGATCAAAAGCCGCACAGACAACAATCCAGAGAAGACGACCCTTGCGTTGAGTGACGTTTGGCAGACGGAGTCCGCCATGAAGGTGGCGCCCCAACTCGCGAAAGCCAGCGTCGCGATGCCCTTCCAGAAGTTCAACGGCAAGGTATCTTCGTTTACTGTCGGCCATCCGATCATTCAGGTGGTCGTGGATGTCTTAGATGCCACTCGCACTATTTTTTGTTTTTGGAATCTCCGCCAGATGAAACTTCCAGGGGGCAATCAACCGACGTCGGAGGAGGGGGGGGAACGGATGGGCAGGGGCGTAGTGTGACCAGGGGCTAGGGATCCAGGACTTCGAGAGAACGGCGAGTGGCTGCGAGACATCCGCTCGAAGTTCGAAGGTTGTTACTGGAGTGGTCTCCTCCGAGGGCTGCAGCTTGGCGACTCCCCAGTACATGCAGACGGTCTTGGATATTTGCGGTGCTCCCCCTCCAGAGATCAAGCCGCTGATCTCATCTGCGCAGCACTACCACTTGATGAAGAAGACGGTCGATACGGTGGTAAGTGGGAACGTCGTGGGATGCATCCAGCTGGCGGCGGCGCTGAAGGCTCACGGGAGCATGCAGGAACCAGTGCTCAGCAAGCCCGAGGTGAAGGAGTGGGCGACGCGTCTCATTGAGACGCGGGGCACGTTGTTTGAGTCTACGGTGGCTGCCTTCGAGACCTCCGAGGTGCAGAAGTTCATGGACAAGTACGGCGCGAAGGGCGAGACCATCTTGGAGCTCATCAAGTGCTGGTCGTTCGACTCAAGTGGCGGATGGCTTGGTGCCTCGACCAGGGATGCCAGCCGCGAGCGCGACATGCAGATCGCGCAGGACTTCGTGCTCTCCTTCAGCTCGGTGGAGCGCGCGGTTCGGGAGCTTGCGTCTTCGAGGGCATCGCTGACCTGGTTGTCCGACAACCAGCGCTTGAAGCTGGACCAATGCGCAGAGGAGCTGAAGGACGTGAAGGTGCTCCACCAGAAGTGTGGCATCATGCTTGGGAGCATCATCCTGACGAACTCGACGCTCACTGGGATTGGCAAGGATGCGAGTCGGCGCTACGTGTTCGACAAATTGCAGGTGCGGCAGCAGGATCTGCCGCGCAAGCTCGTGGAGATGATGGCCTCGCCGAAGGCCGAGGTCCCTGAGCACCCCGCGGCGGCGTCTGCCTCCGCCTCTGGGCTGCCGGCCGCCCTTGAGCCTGCGGCGGCCCCTGCAACCGAGGAGGCCGCCGAGGCGCCAGCTGCCAAAGCGCCGAAGCTAAAGGCGCCTCGCAAGGCCAAGGCAGCTGCAGCAGCTGCGAAGGAGGATTAGAGGTCCTCTCGTTTTACTTGCGGCCCTTCTTTTTCTTTCTTTCTAGACCCCTCTGCCATTTTACCCACCCTCGTTCCCAAACCTACCCATGTATCCATATTGCATCCTCCTCCTCCTCCCTCCTGTGATTCGTCTGTCAAGCGGAGGCATCTGAGAGCCCCTTGGATCCCTTCAACTCCCCCTCATCCTTCACGACGCGCCTAGCTCAACGTTTCGCTCGCCCCATCCGTTGCCGAGTAGATCAGCGCCCCGAGAGTCAGATGCCGAATCGATTGAGATTCCCCTTGGAGACCGTGCGTTTTGTCAAGCGCAACTTTTACGTATACTCTCTGCAGTGTCTTGCATGCCGTGCGTGGGCGCGGTATTGAGTAGTTCGGCGAAACCCGACGAACGGGGCGTTGGGATGGTCGCCTGATGCGCTCAGTTCGCACGAATGGGGGATCTCGAATAGGACATTGAAATTCTATTTAGGGGGCTTGGTACGGGAAGCGTATCCCGAGTAGACAACCCGAGCGGCCTCTTGGGCCAACAGAAAGATCATATGACACAGCGGGGTCTGGGCATCTGACGTTGAGGTGCGGCTGCAGTCTCAGACGATCGAGCGTGGACGGTGCCGCCAGTTTGATGCGTGAGTCGAGGGGCCTCCTCCCTCGCGGCTGAGGAATAGGAGTAGTGGGAGGAGGAGGAGGGAGGAGGTAGGAGAGCGCGGGGACAGGGATGAGGAGGATGGAGACAGTGGGATGAGGTGCGAAGGTCGTGATGCACATGAGCATGAGAAGGATTTGACTTGCGAGCTTCGGCGAATATCAAGTGCAACGTCTCCCAACGTGTACGCCCAAACCTACAGCTGCACAGAACACAACAAAATCCACCATAATCTTCTAACCCATTACATATCGGAATTACAAATGGCAGCACTTCTGGCCGCATGTGTGGCCCACCCTGTGGCTATTTAGTTGTTTTCAGCCAACAAGCTTTTCAACACAGAGGCGCCCCCGCCGCGCCTTCCTGTCAGAGGAGGGCGAGTTGAGACAACAGTAATTACTCCTCCTGCTGCTCCTCCTCCTCCTCCTGCGACTTCTGTCGTCGCTCATGCACAGTTCCCAGAGCTCCCTGGGGAGAGCCCAGAGCCACGAGGCCTCGTCCCTGGGAGCCCCGTGGGAGGATCTCCCCTTTCTCCTCCTCCTCGTCCTCCTCCTCCTCCTCCTCCTCCTCCTCCTCGTGCTCCTCCTCCTCCTCCTCCTCCTCCTCCTCCTCCTCCTCCTCCTCCTCCTCCTCCTCCTCCTCCTCCATTCCTTTTCCTTATAGATAACTTCTCCCTGTCGCACCCCGTGGCCAGTCGGAAGGGCGGGCTGGGCGCTTCGCTTGAGAATTCATTGCCATTTATGATCCTGAAACTTGAAGTTGTTAGCAGTTTCGCAGATGCAGGGTGGGACCCCTCCGAAATGTGGCTTTCGCCTTAGCGCCGCGCGCATTTTGCTAATGTGTAAAAGTTTCACGGATTGAGAGCGGATCGTTATCAACGTGGTTCTCGCCTTACTTCCGCGCACATTCGTTGTAAAAGTGTGCAGGATGTTCACGGATTGAGGGCGGGCCGTTTTCAAAATGCGGTTATCGCCTTGGCGCCTCGCATATTCGTTCTAATCAAGTGTTGAGCAATTGCAAGAGTTTCGTTGGTTGAGGGCGGGTGGTTATCAATATGTGGTTCTCGCGCTGGCGCCGCGCGCATTCGTCTTTGACATTTGAAGAGGTTCACGGGTTGAGGGCGGGCCGTTTTCAAAAGGTGATTCTCGCCGCAGGGCTGCGCACATTCGCTCTAACAATTTCCAAGAGCTCAGGGATTCCCGTCGTCAAAATACACGTCATTGCGTTTTGGAGTTGTTCAGGGCTGCCAGGGAATAACATGTACGTGAATTTGCGGTGTTGAGGTCCCAGGAATGGTGCATTGGCACGTTTTAGGCTTGTCAAGCGGCCATAGTCAGGTTGATTCGTGGCGCTGGAGTCCAGGGAATGGTGTTCTGGCACGCTGCAGGGCGTTCAAACGGTTGCATCCTAACGAGGCACTTCCCTCAGTGGAAATGAACCCTTATAGGGGTCTTTCGGAGCTTGGAGGTTGATGGGCATTGGGTTTACACTGGTCCTCCTCCGCCTCCTCCTCCTCCTCCTCCTCCTCCTCTTAGTCTTCTTTTTCCTCCTCCTCCTCCTCCTCCTCCTCCTCCTCCTCCTCCTCCTCCTCCTCCTCCTCCTCCTCCTCCTCCCCCCCTGGGAGCCTAGAGCCATGAGGCCTCCTCCCTGGGAACCCGTGGGAGTTTCTGCCTTCTGGCCCCCCCTCCCCCCCTCGTCGCAACGTTTGGACGCGGCTCGGCAAGCTGGTTCGTGTGGACCGCAGGAGGGGTCCTACAGGCCCGCGGCTGTAGGGCCGTAGCCCTACTAGAAGGAGGAGGAGGAGGAGGAGGAGGAGGAGGAGGAGGAGGAGGAGGAGGAGGAGGAGGAGGAGGAGGAGGGGGAGGAGGAGGAGGAGGAGGAGGAGAGGAGGAGGAGAGAGGAGGAGGAGGAAGAGGAGGAGGAGGAGGAGGAAGAGGAGGAGGAATAATACCAGTGTAAACCCAAGGCGCATCAACAATGTTGGTATAAGCAGTCGCTGTGGTAAGTGCCCCGTTGGGAGACAACCGTTCGAAGATCCCGCAGCGTGCCAGAACACCCGTCTCGGGACTCCAACACTCCGAATCAACCTGACAGTTGCGCATTGGCGATCCTGAATCATGCCAGTACACCGTTCCCAGGACGTCAACACCGCGAGTAAAAGTAACTGTTGCGCCATGACAATCCTGAATCGTTCCAACATGGTTTGTGATACGTTGACCATGGGAGCCCGCGAGTTCTTGATATCTGTTCCAAACTATGGTGCATGGCACGAAAGCGAGTGCCGCAGTTTGAATAGGAGCCGCCCGCAATCCGTGACGCCCGTGCTATTTGCAAGACGAATGCGCGCGGCACTCAGGCGAGAGCCACATTTCGAAAACGGCCCGCCCTCGTAAGGAAGTCTCAGGCGAAATGCCCGGCCCGCCCTTCCGACTGGCCTCGGGGTGCGACAGGGAGGAATTGATTACAAGGAAATGGATAGGGGGAGGAGGAGAACGATGAGAAAAAGGACGAGGAGGAGACGGACCGACTTTGCATCATCATTGGGCAGCCGTGATCTCAGCTTGCCCTGCTCCGCTCCCAGGCCCCCCGCGCTTCCGTGCCGCCGCCCCGCACCAGGCAGCGTTCTCTCACGCCTGGCAGCGCCCGCGTGGGGCGAGGTCTGGCCGGGCCTGCGCGTGTGGGCACTCCTCTGGTCGGCGGCGAAGTCCGAACCCTGCCCTCGCCGATCAACGATTCAGGCAATTTGAGGGGCGGTGGGGGCAGGGCTCGGACATCGTCGAACACGTGGCGACATCCGGGCCCTACCCCTGCCCCCGATCGATGCACGAGAGTCTTCGGCCGATGGGGGTGGGGTTCGGACGTCGCCAACTATCTGGGCCCCCCGTGTGGCACTTGGTTTTGTTATGTGCCACTGGTTCGCCCGCTTGCCTGGGCGACTCGCATGGAGGCCCCCTGTTCAGCAGGATATCGCTGTGGGTAGTTTTATCAGAGTCCGAGCATTTCTTCGGGCGGAGGGCAGGTGATGAAATCTGAAATGCCGTTTCGATGGATTTTCGATGTTTGGCTCTGCAAAAGGTGACTCACAAGACGGATGGATCTTCGAGGTTCGAAAGGCCATATGGATCTCACCCTGAGCCTTCCACCCTAAGAAAACACTCAGAGAGTGCTGGCCTCCGACGACTACGATTAGGTGATGAGGGGCGCACGCAGGCTGCCTCCAGATGCCCGACGGTACCGTCGGATGCGGGTGCCCCCGCGCTGGTAGGAAGAAAACCACGACGACTGCGTCACTGTCCCTGGGTGGGTGGCTGAAGTAGGGTTCCGCGGCGCGGACTGGTACGCTTCGTTGCGTTCTTGTCGTCGTCCCTCTCGCGGCCCGGCCCGCGACCCGCCCGCGACCCGCCCGCGACCCGCGCCGCGACGCCCCGCCCGCGGCCCACCCCGCGCCCGCCGCCTTAACTCTTGTCCGCAATTGCGGGGTGCTACTATCATTCATCTGTACTCCTCCAGAAGGACTCACACCGACAATCAAATCTTCCGACAGGTTTCTGTTCTTCCAGGATGCGTTCCGAGTCGTTGAGGTGTGTTTTCATATCAGGGGCGCTCTGTATCAAGTTCAGCGTTGTGCAGTTGGCACGGTCAAGAAACCCATCATCGTCACCATCAGCACCACCCTCATACTCACCAGCATATCATGGTCGTCATCGTCATCCTCATTTCCGCATCACCTCTTGGGGCTCTTATTCATGTTCGGAGGAAATGTAACGGTCTGCCGGATTTTTGCTCAGTGCCCGCTCGTCGCCGCTGGTTTCCGCCTGGGGCCGTCTTGGGGGCCTCTTGGGCCCTTCTTGGGGGCTCTTGGGCCGTCTTCGACGCCCTGAAGATCGAGAGCGCGGTCATGCCGAAATGATGTAGAAGCCCAGGGACCATATGAGCGACGTAACAAACGGGATCGTCTTCGCCGACGCTGGCGCGTAAGCTGCCCGCGCAGGCTCGCGCGCAAGCGCCCTCGCTTCAAGCGTGGCGTGCCGTGCTGGCGGCCCGCGTAAGGCGCCGCGTAAGGTCGGTATGCTATCTCGCGTGGGACAAGTTTGTTTGCTGTTTTTTGTTTACAAAAAAACATAAATAACACAAAAACGTCGCTCATCTGAAGCCATGTTGGAAATGCGTTTCCCGAATGGCGCCGCTCTGGCCTGCGCAAAAGTCCTGCGACCGACTCCCGAGAGCGAGCGCCGGGGAGCTTGCGGCACTCGGCGCCGTGGGCACCTGGAGGGTAACATCTGCAACGCCCGAGTTGCCGAACATTCGAAGGGGTCTGTGAAGACATCCCTCTTCAATCATCGATGCTCGGTGGCGGATACATGTTTTGTTCTGCGTGTGTGTGTACGTTTGTGTGGACGTGTGTGTGTGTGTGCGCGTGTGTGCGTGTGTGCGTGTGCGTGTGCGTGTGCGTGGACGTGGACGTGGACGTGGACGTGGACGTGGACGTGGATGTGTAGTGTACGTTTACGTGTGCCCAGATGGCCCATGGCTGGCCGCGGCGCTGCTCGCTCTGAGCGGTTTGAGAGCTCGGCCGCTAGTCGCGCGCGCTCGTTCTCCTCTCCGACCTGGGACGTCCTGTCGCTGCGCGCGGGGCCGCGACGCCAAAACGGTGTGTGTGTGTGTGTGTGTGTGTGTGTGTGTGTGAGCTGCTGCCAGCGGGAGCAGGGCTGCGTCGGCTGGCCACTCGCCCGATGGGGCCCCCCGCTTCCCGCCGCGTGTGGCATGGCCCCGGCGATCGCCCGCAGGACGCCCCCCCCCCCCCCCTCACCGCCGCCACCACGGCCCCGCAGGCAGCCGCGGCCCTGCGAACGCCAGACCCAGACCCCCGACGTAATGATTTGTTTCATTACGTCGACCCCCAGAGGTCCGGACCCTTTCCCCATGACCGGCTTTGCATCCTGAGTCGTTTTTTGACGCTCCCGAGGCCAGGTGAGGGCCCCTGGAGGCTGAAAATTAGGAAAAACATCCCGTCATGATTTTTTCATTACTCGAGGGGGTCTGGGGAGGCCTCCGTCGGGGGCGCAGCAGCTCCGACGCGCACCCGCCAGAGGGCCCGCCAACCATCGGACGCCGGCGAGGGCGACGCGCCGGCACTCCTGGATGACGGGACGCCACCGCCCCACGAGGCCCCCGCCTCACAAGGGTGGCGGTTGGCCTCCTCCTCCTCCTCCTCCTCCTCCTCCTCCTCCTCCTCCTTCGAGTACTTCAGTACGGGTCTGCTGGGAGAGAGAGAGTGGGAGCCCGCCGCCTTGCCGCCCTGGCGGGCTCAAGCTTTAAAGGTGGAGGCAGCCGCACCCGCGGCCCGCGCATGCCCGACCTGGCACTGCAAGCAGCGCAGTGGGCTGGGCAG